GGTCAAACAACATTAGAAAAAAAAAATCCAAAACCAAAAATAGGAAAAGTAACAATAAGAACATCAAAATCATTTCACAATTTAATTATAAGAACATCCTTATAATTATTTTACATGAAAATAAAATCAATAATTCTTATTTAATGGACATATGACACATGAACCTTGCCATTTCATTGGAGGGGCCCACCACCCTGGTAAAATGCCATTTTACATGGGAGGAGGCGGAGGAGTTGCGTTTATCAAAAGTTGAGGCGCCCATTGGCATAACTTTTTGGAAATAATAAATCCAGAGAGAAAACTAATTAGAGTTAGGAAACGTAAGCTTGGGATTTGAACTTTTCTTTGTAAAATAATAAAACAAATCATTTTTTAATTATTTTATGGCAGGTTATAGCTTTAACAGCACAGCGCTAAGTTTGACTGCATTTTTTATCTCCCAACAACTTGTTTTTCAGAATTCCAAAACAAGTTATGATTTTCCCGGTCTTTCATACACCAAAAATAAAAAGCAAGAAACCGTATTTTCGATGACCAAATTGCCCTTTGGTTGTAGCTGTGATATACCATCAATGTCCTCTATGCGGTCCTGTGTGCTACCGGTATTACCCTTCCTTTTTCTTTTATAAGTTTCATTTGTTTTTTGTTTTTTGTTTTTTCCAAAGTGTGAAAGTTCTTTTGTTTTAGTGGCTATATTTGAATACATTCAAAATGTAACTTGAAATGAAAGCAAGGCTTTTATCGTTTTTCTTGGATCTTGCCTAAAAACAAATGATTTGCAAGATGTTTCTTGTACTTTTTATTTATTTTATTTCATTTAGTTTCGAAGTCAAACCAAAATGTTAAATTTGGAAAATTACCAATATATGTACTTTTTGAAGGAAGTATTGAGTTTAAAATGGCAAGATATTTATACATGATCAAATATCATGAAATTTTTTGGTCAATATGTTTTGATATTCACCCAAAAATAATGAAATTACAAATTAAGAAAAAAGAAAAAAAAAAGGAGAAATTTATATATTGCCCTAAAATGAGAGGGGTAAAAGGGTAATCCCTACTCTCAAAGAGGGGAACAGAGTCTTATGGTAATTTTGTCTCATGAGAGGACAGTGGAGTCCAGACAAGAAAATCTGAATATAGCAGTTTCACAGTCCTTTTCTCCTCCATTAATGGAGGGAAGTTTGTATAAACTCTCACATCACCAAAGTTAAAAAAGCCCTCTTACAACCTTCTACTTCTGGCGCCATTTGCAGTCTAAACACTTTTGTTCAAAACTTCTCCAACCCCCAACCACACAGAACCAAAACCTACAATTCCTTCTCAAAGCTCAGCCTTCTGTTTTCTCCATGGAGGAAAAGGAGAGCACCTTCTCTGGGTCACCAGGCAACTCGGGGACCGAGTCACCGCCAGTGACTCAGATGGTGAATATGCCCATGGCCATAAACATGAGCTCAGAGATCATCAACAACAATAGCAACAACCCTGTTTCAACAACAACAACAACAACAGAAATTGCAGAAATTGCAGCAGCAGCAGCTACTGTTGGAAGTGGTGATTTGTCTGGGAAGAAGAAGAGAGGGAGGCCTAGGAAATATGATGCAGATGGGAACTTGAGATTGGGGTATAACAGTAATATCAACAAGGGTGGTGGTGTGGCCCCACCACCACCACCTGGGTTTTATCTTTCATCCCCTGCTTCTGAGTTTTCTTCTTCTTCGTCTTCCAAAAGAGGAAGGGGGAGGCCTCCTGGATCCGGCAACTGGCAGGTTCTTGCTTCTTTAGGTAAGTTATCAGAGGGAAGGAAGTACTGATAACAAAGTTTGAGATTTTGAGTGCTGAGTACTTCAATGGTGTGTGTGTGTGTGT